CCGCATCAGATCCACCACTGGTGTTCCCAGCACCACTGTCCTCACCACCGCTGTCCCCACTGGTTCCACCACCGCCCCTACTGTCCCCACCAGTGGCCCCACCACTGTCGCACTGTCCCCGCTGTCCCCAGAACTGTTCCCATCACGGTTCCACTCTCCCCACTGTCTCCACGGCCCCAACCACTGCCCGACTATCCCCAGTCCCCACTGTCCCACTGACTCCTCCGCTGTACCCCCCCGCCGCTGTCCCACTGAGCTGTCCCACTGTTCCCACCACTGTCCCCACTGTCCCCACCACTGTCCCCACTGTACCTCTGGCCCATTGTCCCACCGCCGTCCTCGCCACCGCCTTCACCACTGTCCCCACCACCATTGTACCCTCCACTGTCCCACTGTTTCCACCTCATTCCCATTGTCCCCACACCACTGTCCCCACCACCACCGTCACCACCACTGTCCACTGTCCCCCTCTGTTCCCACCATTGTCCCCACCACGGTTCCCACCACTACCGTCCCCACCACTGTCCCACTGTCCCACTGTCCCCACCACTGTCCCGCTATCCCCTCACCACTGTCCCCACCAACACCGTCCCCACCACTGTCCGCACCCCCACTCGGTTTTCGAGGGGGGGGGGGGTCGAACCGGTAGTGACCCCCCCCGGTTTTCGAGGGGGAGGGGGGGGAGGGGTTCGAACCGGTAGTGACCCCCCCCCCTTTTCATGATGAGCTGGGGGGGGGAGGGGTTCGAACCGGTAGTGACCCCCCCCGGTTTTCCGGAGGGGGGGGGGGAGGGGTTCGAACCGGTAGTGACCCCCCCCGGTTTTCCGCCAGCAGCGGTAGAACACGCTCTTTCAAATCTTTCGATCGCCCTTGCGCGCGTGCCGTCGCGAGAATGCTCTGAAAAAGAAACGGGGCAAAGTGTAGAAGCGCGCGTCGTCGCGCGCGTATGCAAAAATCATTCGAAACCCTTCGGTTTCGGAAGGATGTCAAAATCGTGTGTCCAAAAAACCTACGAAAACACAAGGTTTCGCAACACGGATTTTCAACAAAAGCGTGCGCGCGCGCTCTTGCGTCGTCGTCGTCGTCGTCGCCGTCCTCCCTCCTCCCGCGTCGTCGTCGTCGTCGCCTACGTCGTCCTCTTTCTTTCCTCGTCGTCGTCGTCGTCGTCTTGGCGTCGTGGTCGGTTCCCTCGTCGTTGTCGCCGTGGTCGTCCTTCCTCCCTCGTCGCCGTCGTCGTCGTCGTCGTCTTCCCTCCTCCCTCGTCGTTGTCGTCGTCGCCGTCGTCGTCCTCCCTCTTCCCTCGTCGTTGTCGTCGTCGCCGTCGTCGTCCTCCCTCCTCCCTCATCGTCGTCATCGAAGTCGTTGGCGACGTCGTCGTCGTCGTCTTCGTCGTCGCCGTCGCCGCCGTCGTCGAAGTCGTTGGAGACGTTGTCGGTGTCGTCGTAGTCGTTGTCGGCGGCGTCGTCGTCGTCGTTGTCGCTGTCGTCGTCGGCGTCGGTGTCGCTGCCAGGTGCAATTTGGTACCCACCGTCACGGTCTTAAGAGGTATTGCGGCCAAGTTGCGGGTGGGAGGGTGGGATGTTTACACGAGCAGTGGAGTTGAGCAAATGACTGATTCTTCTTTCTGAAAAGAGACGTTACCCCCCCCAGGAGTTATCCCCCCTTTTTTCTGGTATGTAAACCATGTATGATTATGACCACATGTCCATCCGATATATGAATGTACATTATGCTCGAGGGGCCGGGATCGGCCCCCCTGAGGTCCCCTTAAAAAATTTAAAAAAATGCGGGGACATTTTTTTGCCCTAACATAAAACTTGTTCACGAATCCCTTGCAACAAATGGGACGAAGTGCACACGCGCGCGTCGCCGCGCGCGCATGCCGAAATCCTTCAACAACGTTCGGTGTTGGGAGGATTTCGCAATCGAGTTTCCCCAAAAAACATACAAAAACACAGGGTTTCGCAACACTGATTTGCTAAAAAAGCTTACGCGCGAGCTCTTGCGAAATCTTGAGACAACCATAGGTGTTCCAAAAAGTTTCACAGCATGCTACCAAACGGGCTTCGCGCGAGCGCATGTCGAACTCTGTCGAACGCCCTTGAGCGTGTGCCGTCGCGAGAATCCTCTGCAGTAAATGGGACGAAGTGCAGACGCGCGCGTCGTCGCACGCGCATGCCGAAATCCTTCAAAACCCAACGGTTTCGGAAGGATTCCAAAATCGTGTGTCCAAAAAACATACAAAAACACAAGGTTTCGCAACACGGATTTTCAACAAAAGCGTGCGCGCGCGCTCTTGCGTCGTCGTCGTCGTCGTCGCCGTCCTCCCTCCTCCCGTCGTCGTCGTCGTCGTCGTCGTCGCCTACGTCGTCCTCTGTCTTTCCTCGTGTTCGTCGTCGTCGTCCTCTTTGGCGTCGTGGTCGTTTCCGTCGTCGTTGTCGCCGTGGTCGTCCTTTCCTCCTCCTCCTCGTCGTCGTCGTCGTCGTCCGTCGTCGGCGTCTCGTCGTCGTCCCTCCTATTTCGTCGCCGTCGTCGTCGTCGTCGTCGTCGTTGTCGTCGTCGTCGTCTTCCCTCCTCCCTCGTCGTTGTCGTCGTCGGCGTCGCCGTCCTTCCTCCTTCTTCGTCGTTCGCGTCGTCGCCGTCCTCCCTCCTCCCTCGTCGTTGTCGTCGTTGTCGTCGTTGTCGCCGTCGTCGTCCTCCCTCCTCCCTCGTCGTCGTCTTCGCTGGCGACGTCGTCGTCGTCTTCGTCGTCGTCGGCATTGTCGTCGTCTTCGTCGTCGTCGTCGGTGTCGTCGTCGTCGGTGTCGTCGTCGTTGTCGTCGTCGTCGTCGTTGTCGTCGGTGTCGTCGTAGTCGGTCTTAAGAGGTTTTGCAGACCAAGTTGCGGGTGGGTGGGTGGGATATTTGCAAGAGCGTGGGATGTGTCAAATCATGGGTAAAAATAAATGTCACCGTTTAGACTGTTCCGCATAGGCTGCACCACTTAGACTGGTCGGCATGTTTTGCACCGGATAGATCGCACCATGTGGATTGCACAGCATAGATTTCACAACATCCGTTGCGCCGTCCCGGTTGCACCCCATAGAGCGCACCGCCTAAGTTGAGCCACGTAGACTGCACAACACAGATTTGCTAGCACACTGCTCTGGGCCCACGCTGGCTAACATGTGACCCAGGGCATTGGCGGAGTTGCAGAGCTTTCGCCTCTGGAGCGGCCGCGGGGGCCTCGCGGGCGCCGCGGGCGCCCTGGTGGGTCCTCGCGCGTCGCCCGCCGGCGGGGCGTGGACGCTTCGAGGCGGGTGCCCCGTGCGCCGGGCGGGCTTGCCGAGGCTTCGCCCGCTGGGCGGGCGCCGGGCGGCCGCCGAGGCTCCGCGGGGTCGGCGGCCGCGGGCGCCTCGTGGGCGCCCCGTGCGCTGGGCGGGGGCTGCCGCTGGTCTCGCCTGGCAGGCGGCCGTGGGCGCCTCGTGGGCGTCACGTGCGCCACGGGCGGGTCTGCGGAGGTGGCGCCCTGTGGCCGCCCGTGGCCGCCCCGGTGGGCGCCTCGTGGGCGCCTCGTGGGCGCCGGGTGGGCGTGCCCAGGTCTCTCGCCAGGGTGCCCGGCCGTGGCCGCCCGTGGGCGCCGCGCGGGCGCCTCGTGCGCTGGGCGGCCGCACGGTTTGCGCCACGGGGCTTTGGCACCAAGCAGCGTCGTGGCTTACAGAGCACAGCTCACACCATACAGTCGGGGCGTTGACCTAAGGAACCCTAAATAAGGAACGAGGCCCCTTTTTTCCATGAGTTGAGCTTCGATTTCCTGTCGAAAACCTGAGGAAAATCCAAGGCAAGCTGCGAAACAATTAAGGAACACGGAGCCCCTCCCCAACGGAAAGGGCTCCTTCTTCAGGGCCCCGACTGTACTGCTTATACTGCACAGGTTGCACCACGCAGCCTGCATCGTATCGCGTACGCCGCGTGGCTGACACCGCGCAGCTTGCGCCACGCAGCTTGCGCCACATGGCTTGCACCGCGCAGCTCACATGGCTTACACAGCCTCCACTGCACTCCCTAGGTTCACCTCACCACGTAGCTTGCACCCCATAGCTCGCACCACATAGCTTGCGCACCATGGCTTATACATCAGATTGCCCCTCAGAGGTTGCACCACGTAGCTCGCACCACATGCCCTGCACCGCATAGAGTACACCTTCACAGTGCAATGCATGACTGTGTGTGGTCCCGGCTGGCACGAGGCATATGCGCATACGTACATGCGTGCAGACATACATGTACACATAACGACGTACAAACGTACATAGACATATAATGTGTTCGATGTGTCGCTTCCGCTGAGCCTGCCGCGAGAGGCCAGACAGGCCATAAGAGGGCCTGAAAGGACCCCAACCAAGACCCAACCTCACGAACCAGAAGCAGCCCCCAAGAGGCCCGCGAGAGGCCTCAAGACACCCCAACAATGAATCAAGGAAGCCCTCAAAGACAAGACGAGCATCAACGCAACATTACGGCCACGCCATGCTACAGCATCGCAGGGCTGCGTCCCCAAAGGCGGCGCACTGTTCCAAGTCGCACTTCTGGCTACTGAGGCAGACCGTATAGCCAAGAACGCGACTTGGAACACCATGCCCTGTACCCTTTACCTTCTCCTCCTCCTGCACCTCCTTCTCCACCTCCTCCCGCTCCTCCTGCTCCTCCTCATCATCATCCTGCTCTGCCTCCTCTTTCCATTTCTCAGTATCCGCCTCTTCTTCATCTTGCTCCCCCAAGCGCGAGGCAACATTCCCCACTTTGTCCGTGGCTGGTGGGACAGATCCAGGATGGCCCTGTAACGCCACCAAAAACGCTGCACCGCAAAAAACATACAAGGTACGTTAGCTGAGTTGACCGAAGGCGATTGAATAAAAGAGGCTGCAATTGTGCCAACCGCACTCTATCAGCGCCTTCTGCTGCTCTGGCGAGACCCGCTCTTGCTCTTTCAGATGCTGGTCCAGAGCGGTCGGTGCGAACTGCATCTGGAAACAGATTCGCCGTCTGCCTGCCCGTGTCCTGCCACCACCTCCCGTGTAGCTCTGAGGTTTCCATGCAGCGTCGAATGGTGGGGCGGGTATCGTACCATCTCTCACCATGCATCGGTCGCCACCCAAATAAAAATAATGTTTCAGCTCTGATGCCGCGTCCACTGGGCTAACGCTTGCTGGAGTGTACTTCTTCATCGCTTCTTGCCAGCGGTCGTTCACTCCGTGCTTGTCCATTCGGGCGCACGCCGTTTTGAAGTCCACGTCAGTCTCGAAGTAACCCACGGCGAAGCCGTCCTCGCGGAGGAACAGGCTGTAGTTGTGCCAGCCGCAGGCGACCAGCGCCGACTGCATCTCTGGCCACACCGCCTTGTGGTCGTCTATGTACTGCTGCAGGTCGCCTGGCTCGAATCGCATCTGGAAGCATGCCCACGAGAGAGATCTGATCCCCGCCCCCCGTTCAAAACAACAGTAACGAAGCGCCACTTCGCTCTGCAGCGGCGACGTGGGCCCCGGGCCCCTGCCGGTTGTGAAACACGGCGCCCCGAGAGACGCGGCGGCCGCCTCCTCTGTGCAGGACGTCTTCGCGGCACCGTCTGGCGAACACGCCAACGCCGCGTTTGCCATTCGCCGCACACCTCTGCCATCTTGCGTTGCCCTGCAGGTGTGACTCGTCTGTGCTGCGCATCTCTCTCTCTCTCTCTCTCTTTCTCCACCTCGACGGCGGCCCCCTTTTGTTCCCCGACGACCTCCCCAACACGGCTCCGGGACGGCCGAAGACCGCTCCAGGTCGGCTCCGAGACACTCAAAGACAAGCCCGACATGGCTTCCAGCAGCAGCCCTAGGTGGCCGCAGGCGCACTCGGGGTGCCTCGAAACTGCCCAGTGGCCAAGAGCGCACCCTTGGCCTCGGTTTCGCCCCGCCAAGAAGCCCTAAACCGCATGAGCAGGGACACGACACGGCAAGGCACGGCGCGTCGCGGCACCGCAAACGGCACGGCATGGCATGGCACGACATGGCACGGCATGGCACGGCACGGCATGTCACGGCATCGCACCGCCCAACCAGCTCACACATGGGACGCACGACTCGTTCACGGCGCGGCACGTGGGAAACGGAATCACAAGCTGGACACACGACGCGGCATGGCACTCGGCACAACGCGTGGTTCCGCCGTATGTCTCCTGTTGGATCCCCCGTGGGTGGCACAGAAGGGCCGCTTCAAGCTGCGCCATAGGCTCCGCCACAGGCTGAGCGCCACAGGCTGAGCGCCAGGCTGCACCACGAGCTGCGACGTGGCAGCGCCAGACCCCCGTTCAGACGGGTCCGCTGCGTCGCCCCTCGACCACCCCACGGCTGTTCACACGAAGCCCAACTAGGGGAACGAGCAATGGCATTCACATAAAAACTCGGAGGTCCGCGCGGATTTCTTGGATCCGCGCTGGACTCCCCTCCCTGGCGCGCGGAGCGCGCCAGGGGCGGCCCCGGAGGCGCCGCCCTCCCTCCAACCCCGTATCATTGCGTAGAGCCCCTCTCGCCTCGCATCATCGGGCACGAAGAATAGATTGAATCCAAAAGGGTGATCGCCGCACTGCATAGTATGGCATGGCACGGCGTAGGAGAGCACTGCAAAGTGTAGCGTGGCATAGCATGGCGTGACATTACGTAGCCACGCATTGCACGCATTGCACATCATAGCATTGCAGAACAAGGCATGGCATCGCGCATAGCCGCGCATGACACAACACTCTGCGCATGCAATGGCATAGCGCCGCACGGTGAAGCATGGTATGGCATTACCTAACAAAGCATTGCATACCACAGCATTGCAGAGCAAGGCTGGGCATCGCATAGCAGCATCGCATAGCGGACATGACGCCAGCGATGCAGCGGGGGCACACTTGGGAGGGACAAACTGAAAAATGAGGACAGTGCCGAAGCGGGAACAACACGTTTAATTACCGAAATGCTGAATGAGACCAACGCTACAACGTGAGCACTATTGAGAAGGACCAGAATCGCGGAGCTGAGGCCAATACTGCAGCGCGAGCACCATCATGGAAGGAACGAAAACGTTCGTATTGGAAAAAAACAGCAAGTACACACTTGAAAAAAGCCAGAGCACACAAAAACACTCGGAGGGGAGCGCGCCACTCTCAACACGTCCTCGGAGGAGAGAGGGAGATCAGGATTTCATCGTGTGCCACTGCGGAGGAAGAAGAAGAAGAAGAAGAGGAACACTCTGTCCGGGCCTGCTGTTGTGGAAAGGCTAAAATGTTTAAAGCGAGCACAGGTATATGGGGATGGACACGACGGGTGCAGGCAGGGGGCCACCCCAGCCGACAGGACCCGCGCATCGCTCGGCCCTTCCCGTTTCTTTTCCCCCCCATCACAACCGAAGCTCGTATGGTAAGGAAAGAGAGGGGGAGGAGGGCGACAACGACTGGGAGGTGGAGGAGGAGGTTGGATCGTCTGGGGGGGCAACGTCTCCTGATCGCACTAGGGCCGACGCGGCCGCCTGCGGCCTGCTTTGCCGAGGGGCAGGTCGACGGCCTGGAGGGCGGCTCTCGCCAGGCTTTGGGCGGCCTCCTGAGAGAAGGGGATTGGATGGGCCTTACTCTCTTGGTGGGGAGGAGTCGCGATCCCATAGGACGACTCTTGGTGGGGAGGAGGAGGAGGAGGAGGAGGAGGAGGAGGAGGAGGAGGAGGAGGAGGAGGAGGAGGAGGAGTAGGGAGGAGGAGGAGCAGGAGGAGGAGGAGGAGGACGACGAGGCCCTTTCCTTATCCAGCCCTGACCTCCTCCGGGAAGGAGGCGCGCGGCGGCCCCCCCGGAGGGTGCCCAGACCGACCCCGTCTGGCAGCGGCGCTGGGGCCCTCGCCCCGCCGACCGTCGGTCCTCTTGACTCGATGGGAGCAGGGGGGCAACGATCCCTGAGGTTGCTAAGATCTGTTTTTAAGATCTTGGCATGTACAACATCAACATGGCATCAAGCATAGACATCAGTGTCATAAATAGATCTCACATGCAAAAACAGAAATAGACCTTCATAGTAGACATACGCTTTGAACGAGTCTAATCTGCGGGGTTGCGAGTTGTCAACGTTGAGACCTTGATGCACAAGTTCGGCCTACGACCTTCCCCCGCCTTTATAGGGGGGGGATGGGCACGGGGGGGAACATCGGCCTCGAATGGGCGATACGTCGCCGATAGATCGGCGAGAGGCCCCCGATAGTGAATCCGCACGCTCCCGGGGAGGTTTCAGCATCGGGCCCACATCGGCGATCAATGGGCGAGTGGGTGTCGATGCATCCCCCCTATGCCTATCCCCCCCTGTGGTTGCACCAGATGGGAGCAGGGGGGCAGGGGTTCGAACTCCGCCGCGTACTCGACGAGCTCTGAACCCTACCCCGCCGCCCTTCGGCTTGCCTGAACCGCTGATCGGTGAGGGTAGGGACCGGACTTCGCCGCTGGGTGGTGCCGCCCCGGGCACCAACCGCGGCAGCGCCGGGACAGCACCCAGCCGCGGCCGGGCGGAGAAACGCCGTCCGGCGCAACCGACAGGTCCAGGCCAGGGCGCAGGCGACCAGATCTCTCTCGGGGGGGGCCATACGCGCCGCAGCCCGCCCGCGGTGAAGCCCCCTCCGCCGGTGTACGCCTGCGGGGAAGGACCCAGCAGACGTCCGGCGTCTCGATTTTTTCGAGGCGCGGGCCCCCGACCTCTTGACCACTTCCCCTGGGACCAGTTTTTTGTTCCGAGTCGGTTTTCGACGGTCCCGAGACCTGCTCAGAGCCCCGAGAGGCCCAAAAATAGGCAGCACACCGCATTTGCAGGTAAGAGTGCAGGGGCGGCGGCGGGGGCGAAAGTATTGCCCCCACGCATTGCCCCCAAGTGTTGCTCCAACGTATTGCCCCCACGTGCTGCCCCATGTACTGCCCCCAAGTATCGCCACCATGTACTGCCCCCGAGTGCCGCCCCAAAGCAGTTATCGCCCCCATGCACTGCCCTAAGTATGTCCCCCATGTGCTACCCCTGGGCATCATCGCCCCGAGATATCGCACCCTTGTACTGCCCCCAAGTATCGCCCCCATGCGTTGCCCCAGATCTTGTCCCCACGCACTGCCCCCACGCGTTGCCCCCAGAGACGGAAACTTCCATCTTGCCTCGCGCGCGCAGGGTACAAGTAAGACCGTTCGGGCCCCCTCACTCTGATGAAAAACCTGTCTCGTTTTCTCGAGACTCCAGATGTCTGGGGACGGCAGCCCTCGGCCCTCTGGGGGCTGCTTGCGGGCGGGCCCCAGGAGAGCATCAGAAAACGGCCCTCGACGCACAAATCAGAGGCTCGCCCCGGGGGAGGAGGGGGAGGAGGAGAAGGAGGAGGAGGAGGAGGAGGAGGGGGAGGAGGAGGAGGAGGAGGAGGAGGAGGAGGAGGAGGAGGAGGAGGGGAGGAGGAGGAGGAGGAGGAGGAGGGAGGAGGAGGAGGAGGGGGAGGAGGAGGAGGAGGAGGAGGAGGAGGAGGAGGAGGAGGAGGGAGGAGGGAGGAGAAGGAGGAGGAGGAGGAGGAGGAGGAGGAGGAGGAGGGAGGGAGGAGGAGGAGGAGGAGGAGAGGAGGAAGGAGGAGGAGGGGAGGGGGAGGGGCAGCAGAGGGGGCGGGCTTTCTCGGAAGGCTCAGAGGGCCTCCGGCTGTCTGAGGAGCTCTCCGTCCAAGCCTTCTCTGGGGCCCGCCCTCTCACGACCCCCCTCGGCGCGCCACCGCACAGGGAAAAGCGGCCAGGAGAGAGAGAGAGAGAGAGAGGCCAGGGAGGCCCAGGCAGGGGCGGCCCACGCTGCGAAGCAGGCGCGACGGTGGGCGCCCCCCGATCTCCCGACCCGCTCCCCTGGCCAGCTGTCCTCCTCCTCCTCCTCCTCCTCCTCCTCCTCCCTCCTCCTCCTCCTCCTCCTCCTCCTCCTCCTCCTCCTCCTCCTCCTGCATCCCGAGCCGTTTGCTGTTTGCTGTTGTGGGCGGGGAATGAAAAAAGAGGGTCTCCCCGGGGCGGCTCAGGAGGGAAAAGAGCTCGCAGTCACAACGCCTGAGCCGCCAGATGTCTGTGGGGGCGACAGCGGGGACCCCAAGATCCAGGGCCGAGGTTCGAGCATCGAGACTCGAGCATCGAGCGCCGATGATCGAGGCTCCGGGAGATGCCCAGAGCCAATCTTTTCACCGCGACAACGTACGCCCCTGACCGGCCTCGCCCCCCCTCCCCCTGATCGCGTCACGATTCGCTGGGGCCGCGTGGGAATCAGCCGCTCCGAATCATTCCCAGACGGCGCTGGTGCGAATGGTGACGTGACCAGCCCCCCCCCCCTCCCGCCACGCCAGTCCCTGAGGTCCGACGCTGCGAAAAATTAAAGCCTCGTAAAAAGCACGAGCGCTGTCGTGATTTGTTTGCGATGCTTCCACCAGCAGCGCAGCAAGACTGCCGTTCTTCACGCCAGATCGCTCTGCGAGAGCCCTGGGGCCCCCGGAGTGGGCCGGGGGAGCCCCGTGGAAAAACACTGCCACGCTCAGCTCGGAAGGCCCCCCCAGCCACGCCCGCTGCCGCCAGGGGGAGGAGGAGGAGAAGGAGGAGGAGGAGGAGGAGGAGGAGCGAACGTCCGCCGAGGGGGGCGATTCATCCGACCATGGGCGTCCGAGTGGCCCCGCGCCGCCCACGCCCGCTGCCGCCAGGGGATAAAAAAATGCCTCCAGGGTGGGGGCGTATGGCCAGGTCCCGGGAGGCCTCCCAGATGCGGTCGGAGTGAAGGTCGGAGGATCTCGCCGCATCGCCGATGCCTCGGCGTTGCATCGGCGATGCATTGTCGATGCATCGGCGATGTCGGCGACGCATCGGCGACACCAGCAGCGCGGAGACAATCGGACCCACCCCAGCTGCGGGAGGCCCGAGGATCCCCCAGCCTGCGGCGCCCAAGCGCCGCGAGGGGAGCGGCTGCGGCCGCGCGCCTGTCCCCGCCCCTCGGCCATCCTGCTGGTGTCGGGGGAGACGAACAGGGGGGATAGCGAAGGGTAGGGTAGAGAATCAGCTCACGTAGCTGATTTTCCCAGCGACCCCCGGCGCCGGAGGCGCCCATGTGTCGAGGAATGGGCCCAGCAGCGGGGCCGAAACCAGCTGCATGCAGCAGATTTCCACATCCCCCCCTTTCGGTCGGCCCGACGGTAGGGCGCCGCGCGCCGCAGCTCCGCGCGCCGCGCAGCCGTCGCCCAGGCGCGCTGCCCCGGCGCGCGCGCGCGCGCCCGCCCGAGGTGCCCTCGGACGCAGACCGGCTCGAAGCCTGCAACAATCGCGACGGCGGGTGGACTGGAAGTGTCCATCCACACGTGTCTCGCCAAGACCTTGAGTTAGTAAAGCACGTCGGACCAGAATGTATACCCCCCCTTCCCCCAAATTTAAGTTGACGGGTGTGGGCGGTAGTAGGCCGCAGGCCAGGGACAAAATGTGGGCACTTCGACTTTGGTTTCGGGGGGGGGGGGGCGAAGCAAGGGCATTTCCCAGTTGTGGTTGTCATCATGTTGTATCGCCTTCCCGCCATGGGTGTGGCTACCGGACGGGAGGTTTTTAGCTACTTTCGCCCTCTGGGGGCTCTTGCTGGGCCTCGGAACGGTCAGGAGGCGATCGGGATGAAAAGCTGGTCCCAGTGCGCATGGATCGGCCGAGACCTCAAAGGGCCCGCGTCATGCGAAATCACGACGTCGGGGGTCTGGGGGAGGAGCGGCTGACCCTGAGCTCCCGGGCGGGCCGGCAAGTTTTGTTTTGAACAACCCTGAGATCCTGGCGTCTCAGTTGTTTCGAGCCGGGCGCTTTTGCTCGGCATCGGGCCCCGAGACCCTCACAGCTCGATCCCGCTCAGAAAACGGCGCATGGAACTGGAGTCTGGAGAGCTATGGACGTGACTGTTCACGATATTGTATTTTTCGCTACGTCGGATCTCATCAAATGTGCTGCGGTGTAGCCTGCGTGCTGCCGTGGCCACAGCACTCCGTGCTAAAATTGAACCAAGTTCCAGCGAAGAGTGGGCCGATCACCACTTCGGCAGTCGGGCGGACTCAGGCAGCACTCACCTGGGACAAAAAAATGTCGACTACATCGTGGTTTTCCTCGTCACGCCGCTGCTCCTCTGAAGAGGGGGTAAGGTGCAGGCAAGGAGGGGGAGAAGAGGAGGGTGGAGGAGGCAGAGGAGGGGAATGACGAGGAGGAGGGGGAGGAGGAGGAGAAGGAGGAGGAGGAGGAGGAGGAGGAGCGAACGTCCGCCGAGGGGGGCGATTCATCCGACCATGGGCGTCCGAGTGGCCCCGCGCCGCCCACGAGGCAAGCAAGCAGCCTCAGGGCACGGCTGGCGGCGGCGGCAGCCGCGGCGTTTTTGTTGAGGAAGCTGTCCTGGTGGTCCACCGCCCAGACCTCGGTGTCAGAGGTCGGGTAAGGGTACAGGTAATTCTGCCTGTGGATGCGCAGGAAGACGCGCGCGATGGCGCTGTCGCTGCCGTTCTCGCCATGTGATACCTCGCCATTGAGCCCAATGCGCCGGAGGACGCTGGCGGAGAGGATGCCGCGAGGTTGGCATAGATGAGACCACAGCCGCGGGCAAGTGAGGTAGTGCGATACGTCGTCGATGTTCGGGTTGCTCTCGACCTCGGGGCAGCCGAACATACAGTGAAACTTGTGAGGGTGGACGCGCACGCGGTAGGTTGTTGTCCATTCGCCCGACAGTGTCTTGAGGACTGGCCACAGCTGTGAGGGACGCGCTCGAGAGAGATCCTCGTGCAGCGCCGCCCACTCGGAGGACAACGACGAGGACAAGTTCAGGATGCCAATCATGTCCGCAGGTGGATTATCGTCGCCTCCACGCGCAGTTTCGCCAGGCAGCCTTTTGTCTTCTTGATGCATGTCTTCCGCAGTAATCCAGCGACGGTGAACGCGGCGTTCGGCAGCTTCTTCGTCACATCTTCGCTCACGGCCAGGCAGTCGGCGCGACAGCTGACGGATGCAGCGGACGGATGCACGGCCAGGCAGATCATGGCGCGACAGCTGCGAGCGCGCGCAACAGCATGCACGCTCCTCTCGCAGATGTCAACGGCTGTCTGGCGGCGGCCGTTACCGTCTTGACAGGGGCCAAACATGTCGCCGAAGTGCGGGCGGCGAGAGGCGCCAGTCAAGCACGGGACGCAACACTGCATCCTGTCGGCGTAGTCGTCGACGCTGCTCTCCGAGAACGCTCGCGGGACATCGAGTAGCCCACGCTTCGGCACGCTCGTTCATGTAGGCGATGGATCTTCGGAGTCTGAATCAGGCTGAGAGGGTTGGTCTCCTCGAAATACATGAAATGGACGAGCACGCTGCTGAAGACCGAGGAGCTGGAGCCAGGACTTGAGGCGCTTGATGATGTCGAAGGCGCCGAAGTAAAGACTGCTCTGAAATTCTTGTAGATGTGTTTGTTGAGGAGATTTCGGCTTCGATACCTGTCTTGTGCCCTGATCCTTGCCACGACTCTGGGCCCTGTTACGACCCTCTTCCGCCGGGGCCGGTCCTCTGTCCTGAACCCTGCCACGACGCAGGACCCTGTCACGGCCCGCGTCCGATGGCGCCAGGCGTCCAGCAGCGGCGGCGCGGCGGCGAGCGGCTTCGAGCGCTCGAGCGGCTCTCCACGGCGTGCCAAGCGAGCGCTTTGAGCGCCTCGTGAATCGCCCCCCTGGCACGCCGGGAAGAGCTGGCTGCTCGTGATCCTCTCGAGGCGCCGCGCGGAGGAGAGAGCTCGCCCCCCCAGGCAAGTCGGCGCGCCAGCGCCCCGTCGACGGCTTGGCAGACAGGATGGCGATCTCCAGCAACTGCACAGGTGGAGGCGAAGAAGGCGAGGCCACGTCGCGAGCAGTTTCGCGGCAGCGCGCCACATCGTAGCCGAGAGCAGGGCCTCGAGCCCCATGCGGCATCTCCGCCCAAGTCCACCGCTGAAATGAAGCGATGTCCACGTTGGTGAAGCTGGACGGAGAGAGAGAGTGAGAGAGAGAGAGAAACACAGAGAGAGAGAGAGAGAAAGAGAGAGAGAGAGAGAGCGGCGTTATGATGAGAAAGAGAACGAGGCAGAGAGAGAGAGGCGGAGAGACAGAGAGAGGGAAAGAGAGAGAGAGAGAGCGAGACACGGGAGGAGAAAGAGAGAGAGAGAGATAACAAAACTAGAGAGGGAGAGAGAGAGAGAAAACAAAATAAAAAAGGGATATGAATACAGAGAGAAAGAGAGAGAGAGAGAGAAACAACGAAAATAAGCTCAGGGGCAATAGCATCGGCAACACAACGAATGCACATACAATAGACTGCGTGAGAGAGAGATGGCGGTAAAGAGAGAAAGAGAGAGAGGAAGAGGGAGAGAGAGAGAGAGGAGAAAAAAGAGAAAAAGAGAGAGAGAGAGAACCAAAGACAGAGAGGGAGAGAGAGAGAGAGAGAAGGGAAGGATGGAGGCCGGGGGGGGAAAGAGAGGGGCGCCTGCAGCCGCATGCGCAGGCCCGGCCCCACCAGCTCCGACCGGCCAGCGGCGAAGGTCAGCGCCTCGCCGAAGTGCCAGGGGCACTCGTGGCCCTCGCAGGGGCGGGGCTGCAGAGAGAGAACCCACCTCCACCACCACCACCACCACCTCCACCACCTCCATCCCCTCCTCCTCCTCTCCTCCCTCCTCCTCCTCCTCCTCCTCCTCCTCCTCCTCCTCCTCCTCCTCCTCCTCCTCCTCCTCCTCCTCCTCCTCCTCCTCCTCCCCCTCCTCCGCCTCGCCGAAGTGCCAGGGGCACTCATGGCCCTCGCAGGGGCGGGGCTGCAGAGAAAGAACCCACCTCCACCACCTCCACCACCTCCGCCACCTCCACCTCAACCCCCTCGCCCTGAAAATAACTCCTCCCTGTCGCAGCCCTCGGACCCGTCGGTAGGGCAGGCAGGGCGTTTCGCCCCGAGGCCCCCTCACCACGGTACGACCCTGAAGCCTAAAAGTTGCAAATTGCTTCAAGGATGGAAGGCGCCTAGTTTTCAAAATGTGGCTCTCGCCTCAGCGCCGCGCGCATTCGTCATTAACGTTTGCAGCGGTTTCAAGGGATCGTAGGGCTGAGTCCCAGGAATTGTGTTCGGGCAGGCTTTAAAAAAGCCACGACGCAACAGTCACATTGTTTCGGGGAGTCCCAGAAGAGGCGTTCTGGGACGATTTAGGATTGTCAGCAGTCACGCTGATTCCCATGAAATGCGTTTTCCCACAATTGAGGATCCTCAGACGGTTGTCTTTCGACGGGGCACGCCCTGCAAGGAAAACCAATTATTGTAGAGGCCTATGAAGAGGGAACTTGGACGGAGGGTGTATTGCAACATCGTCGATGCGTCTTTAGTTTACACTGGTCCCCCTCCTCCTCCTCCTCCTTCCCCTCCTCCTCCCGATCACCATCCTCCCCCTCCATGCCTCTCTCACTTCCCGTCCTCCTCCCGCCTCCTCCAGCTCCTCCCTCCAGGCTGCGCGCGCACCGCCAGGAGGCATCCGCAACTTCTGGAGTCCTGCCCTAGGTTTAAGTCGGGCCTGTCCTCCTACAGGGGGATTTTGGACGAAACATAAAACTACGAACAGAAAATACCCTTAAATCGTCAAACAAATACTCAAAAAATAGTCCCCAGACTATCTTTGGACTATGTTTGCAGATTCCCCCTGGTAGAGGGACATACCCGACTGAACCCCAGGCCCCCGGGGGGAGCGGCAGGAGAGCCCAGAATCGAATCGCTGCGTCGCGTCGGCAATCGACATCCATCGCATCGGCGAGGAGCGGCAGAAAGAACATCGGAACATGTCTAACAAAAACATCCGATCCGATCGGAAGAAAACCCGATTCTTCTGCCATAATCGCAAACACACACACAAACAACAACAACAACAACAACAACAACAACAACAACAACAACAACAACAACAACAACAACAACAACAACAACAACAACAACAACAACAACAACCACAACAACAACAACAACAACAACAACAGCAACAACAACAACAACAACAACAACAACAACAACAACAACAACAAAAACCCAAAGAGCGGCAGCCGGGTCGGGAAAAGCCGAATCGGCGGAAGTCGGCCGGCTAGGAGGCCGGCCTCGAGACACCGGAGCCCAGAGCGGACTCCAAGGCCGAATCGAAGCGGCCTCGGAGGCCGTCGCAGTCGGATCGGATCGCGTCGGAGGAGGAGCGAGCCCTGGAGGAAAGGGAGGAGGAGGAGGAGGAGGAGGAGGAGGAGGAGGCCCTCCAGGGCCCTCCATGGGCCCTGGAGAGCGGCGGCTCTTCTCCAGATGGTCTGGCTGCGGAACGGCTTCGCGCTCCGCGCCCGCGGGGCGCCAGACTTGCCGAGGCTTCGCCGCGCGGGCGGGGCGCGGGCGGGCGGCGCCCTCTCGCTTTGCTCGCTTGCTGCACCGGCGTGCTACCCTTGTGGATGCCACGACACTGGACACCCTAACAGTCCTATCATTGAATTTAGGATGTGTTTGGAATGTCGGATACATGTTATAAACATGTTTTAAACATATTTAAACACATGCTTAACACATGTTTTAGACATCTGGAATTTATTTGACGACGTGTTTCCTCTCCATTGATCGTCCTCCACAATACTACCCTGATACGCTGCAGCACGTCCGCTCGGGGACTCAACACCGGCACGAGCTGGCAGACTTCGCGCCCGCAGGTGCAGCAGAACTGCCCCCAGGAGGCCCCCGAGAGCGCTCCGAAGAGGCCCCAAGAAGCATCCCTGAGAACTCGGGCCCGCAACCCAGGCACGGTGGCGGGATGGGCCGAAGGCCATTCGATAGATCCGCCGCCCCCTGCTTGCAGGGGTGCACGGCGTGCTGGACGTTTCAGGTTTTGGTTTTGGTTCTTTTTCTAAAAGAACTCCCCAGTGGGCTTCGGCCCGTCCCGCCGGCCACCCGGAAAGGATGCCCAGGAGCTCAATTCCCCAATTTCCTGCCCCAGACGGTTCCAAGATGGCCTCCAAGACGGCCAAGATGGCCCAAGATGGCCTCCAAGATGCCTCCAAGACGGCCAAGATGGCCTCCAAGACGGGTAAGATGGCTCCAAGATGCCTCCAAGACGGCCCAAGATGCCCTCCAAGACGGCCAAGATGGCCCCAAGATGCCTCCAAGATGGCCCAAGAGGCCTCCAAGACGTTCTCCAGGAGAGCCCGAAGAGGCCAAAATCATTGGTTTTCCTTAGGTTTTTGAAGGTTTTTTGCGTTTTCTTCTTTTCGGCCTTCCGACGGCCCAAGAGGCCCCCAAGATCGCCCAAGAGGCCTCCAAGAAGGCCCTATGACGGCCCAAGGGCCCCCCAAGACGGCCCCAAGAGCGCCCCAAGACGGCCCAAGAGGCCTCCAAGACGCCCAACATGGCCTCCAAGACGGCCCTGAAGCGCCCCAAGAGGGCCCCAAGACGGCCCAGAGAGGCCCCCAAGACGGCTCCAGACGGCGTCAGACGGACCAGGAACGCCCTAAGACGGCCAAAGAGACCCCCAGGAAGCCCCCAAAGGCCCCCAAGAGGCCCAAGGAGGCCCCCAAGATGCCTCCAAGAGGCCTCGAAGAGGCCCCCAAGAAGCCCCCAACAGACCCCAAGGGTGCCCCAAGAGACTCCTAACAACCCTCATCCTCCTACTCTATTTCTTCCTCTTCCTCTTCCTGTTCATAGTCATTCTCTCCCATGTGTTCCCCGAAAGCTTTCCAAACCGACTCGGGGAACTCATGGTCCGATAGCTTGGCCAAGCTCTAGTCCAACTTTCGGCCACATCGGCGTTTCCAAAAAGGCAGGGGGCGGTGGTGATTCGCCGTAGGCGTCTTCGATAACCAAATGGGGCGAGAGAGAAGGACAGAGAGAGAGAGGGAGGGAGGGAGGAGAAGTGGAGTAGAGAAAGAGAACATGCGTGACAGAGGGAGACAGAGAAATAGAAAAATATGACAGAAACGGACTGATCTATATAGATCTATATATCTAAATATATACATTATATATGTACAGAGAGGGGAAAAAAGAAGACAAAAAACAACACTAAAAACTACAAATGGCAGGGTGATTGAGAAAGAGGTAGGTAAAGGCATGGGAGCACTTGTTGCGTCGGCGGCCAGGCAGAGGGAAACTGCGCTGGCGATGAGAGGCTCAAACGGGGATGCCGTTAGAGCGAACGGTGCCACCATGCAGGAGGAGGAGCGAAGACAGGACGCGGCCGAAGGAAAACAGGGCCGGGGCGGGCGGCTCAGGGGTCAGCGAGAGAGAGACAGATGGGAGCACACATGAGAGAGACAGATGGTGGAAAAAAGAAAGAGAGAGAGTGAGAGAGAGAGAGAGAGAGACAAAAAAAGGAACCAGAGAGACAGAGAGACAGAGAGACGAAACAGCAAGCGAGGCATAACATGAACATGAAAGAGAGAGAGAGAGAGAGAGATGGAGCGACGGGGGGAAACACACACCTATATATATATATATATATATATATATATATGAACGGAAGAGAGTGGATATAGAAGAGGGGAAGCACAGAAAGGAACAAACGAAAATGGCAGAAAGGGAAAAGAGGGGGGAGAGAGAGAGAGAGAGAGAAAGCGAGAGGGAGAGACATCAAGAGTACAGAACATCAAAAAGGCGGGGAGCACCAGAGTGATATAGAGAGAGAACGTGCGGCATACATGTACGCACACATGTGTATGCATATATATATACACAGATATATACAGACATGTACGTGATGAAGGGAGAGAGAGAGAGAGAGAGAGAGAGAGAGAGAGAGAGAGAGAAAAAAAAAAAAGGAGAGCACACAACAGAAGCACGTATGACTGCTCTTGGTCGCAGCGGAGCGGGGCCACGCCACGGTCCGAGGCAAGGGGGAAGGAGAGCTGCATACAGCGAACGAATCCAAATGCACAGAGAGAGAAAATG